AACTTACGTGGTTGCAGTGCTACAAGGATTAGAAGTAGTTGCGCAAAACGGAGCGTGCCCGCTCTGACCGGTTTTAAAGGGTTAAAGGGGACGTATTCTGCTCGTTTCAAACTGCACCTTTATTTCTTTAGAATTTGCTGGAGCAGCTTTGCATGATTCCCAATTAACACATAACTCCTACGTATCTTATACTGGGCCTTGGTGCCCTTTAAGGCAGCTTTCTTCTCATTGGCTGCCCCTCGCAAACCAAGGTTTGAAAAACAAGTGGGTGGGACTTCTGCGCTATATCGTTTTAAGATGCTTGTTTTCGAGTCTGGACATGTATGTACAACATGTGCTACATATAGGAAAATTATTTTTTCTTATTAGGACATTTGTCACCACATTGCCCAAGATCCAAACGTCATGTTTCCTATTCAAAGATTTAACTTGTCTCATGACTAACTTCTATAGTCATGAGACAAATGATGTCATCCTGAATCAGATGGCATTTCCTTCCCCATAGACTCATAAGCTGTGTATGCTTTGTCAACCCAGCCACTCTGTTTAAAAGGCTGCAACGTAATATCTGAACATTTTGCAAAATCAAAACAATCAGAAAGAAGCAAAGACAAGAGATTTCCCACAATGCAACTCAAAACGATCTTTCATTAGATCCTTGCTGTGGTAATTTCCTCAAATCTTGCACACTAATGTGTAGCCTCTAAACCTAATCGCCAAAAACACAATATCACAAACGATGACAACACTATGACATAATCAAGGATATTTCCTCAGAGTTGTCAAAGCAGAAAGACTCAGTTGTTTTAATGTGTTTAGCAGTATTAACAACAAAAAGTAAATGCATATTCACAAGTAAAAACTGACATACTTGCCCTTGGGTGACATGTTAAAAAACACGCTGCACTCTCAGCTCAAACCTGCACATCTTGTGAGCTCAGATAAACATCAAGTTACTCATTAACGTTTTATCAGATCCCTGAATCAACATATGAAAGCTATACCCCCAGCAGCCTGCACCCGCCTTAAGTTACCAGCAATGTGATCCATTTGGTTCGTTTGCATAGGCCTCCTCCTGCACTCCATCCTGCTCTGTGGTCCGCTTATCCCAGACTAGATTACGACATCCCAAAACAGCATGCAGCTTTACAGCATTCAGCTCTGCGTCACCTCCTGAGGCCCTCATGTCCCCAATTGGGCTTCTCGTCACTCGTCAGTCCCAGCTCCCGATCCTGTGATCAAACTTCGTCCACCACGATTCAGCCGGCTACTTTTATACTGCACTAGGTCAAGCTAAAAACGTTCCCCTACCCACACAGAAAAAAGAAATAATCTGCAGTGTCAGGTTGAGCAGACATACTTCTGTATAGATACTTTACACATCATCATCATCAGGAAACATTTAGCAAAAAAGGAATCATCCAATTCGTAGTTTCCCTTGGCTCATCTTCACCAGCTTGCTCTCACTAGTAACGTGGGACCACTGTCTCATATATGCTAAGCTGCTGCTGCCATGGTAACCTCAGTACAGGATTTAGACCCAGTTCAGGACTGGAGGGGCATTGAGAAAGGGGCAGGTGGAAGAGCTGAGCGGCCTTAACTGTAATCCCCAACACCAGGAGCAAAAAATAGAAAAACTAAGCTAGACAGCACATCTGCAAAAACACAGACAGATGCGCACGACACGCCACTAATCCAGCAGTGAGAATAGCCCACATGAACTCGTGCTGCCTTAGCAGTAACGTTGGCGAGATAGACCGAGGCCTCCGTCTACCTGCTCAGACGAACGGCATAAAGGTGTAGTTCAGAGAAGGCTGCAGAAAATCTGTCTTCGTCAATCAAATGCGAGCGGTGACTAACAGAAATAGTAAGGAAATAACAGCTAAATGAGTCACAGCCTTCATTCCCTTCATTATGCAATCTCACATTGTATAATGTGTCAAAGGAGATCCCCGGAACGTGTCGGAGATTACTTATACCTCAGTGGTAGAGAGAGTAACAACCGGAATGTTCCAGGAGCACCCGCTGGCTCATGATAGAGCTCGCCGTGCACAGGGAGGCACACCTACAGCTACAGCAGTGTTTGTCCTAAAACATGCCTGTGAAGCATGCGTGTTTACTGGATGAAAGTCCATATGCGTTTTTGTGAATGTGCACGCTTGAGGGGAGGGCGTGTGTGACGACAGTCCGTGTGGGTGTGGGTGCACAGCTGTGGAGATGACGTAACTAGCTGAACGCTGATCCACTCAGCCTATCGATGGGGACACTGGTTTTTGGAGCTGGGATCTGGGAGTCTGAATGAGGGGTTTCCAGCAGTGATGGCTACTGCACAGTTGCTATGGGGCTTTACGGTTTCTGTGTGTGTGTGTGTCTGTGTGTGTGTGCTGGAGTGTGAGGGGGGGGTGCTGTACAAACTCAACCTATCAGCAAAGCTACAGCGCTCAGGCACGTTTACCAATGCCTCCCCCTCCTCCTCTGCATGCGCATACCCTGGTGTCATTTCTCCTTCAGGCACAGAGGAAGCCAAGTAACTCCCCCCTTGTGTCATAGCGTGAACACACACACACACACACACACACACACACACACACACACACACACACTCTCACAAGCACAAACCAGATTCTCCAACTATCAGCTGAAACACTGAACTGCCTGCCAGTCCATTTGCCTCACATGAAGTGAGAGTAACGGTACAGAAGACGAGACACACGCATGCACAGAGAGAAGATAGGCTCACTTACTGTAAGTAAGCAAGCACACACACCCCTTCCCATCCTCCGACCTCACCCCCAAAACACACACACATGCTCAAACTCTCCATACCTGTTTTCTGAGTATAAACAAACTAACATGCTATTCAAAGCCCTAAGGTGTGGTCCTTCTCTTCCACACACTCTCCACTCTGATGGAGAACGTTGGGGGCAGTGTGTTCCCGGGGGTGTGTGCCAGTCTCATGCAGCTCGCTTACCTGTCCAAGATGTCATGGCTGGATGTGGCTGTGGCTCCCAGCAAACCCAGTGCTGCACTCCCCACCGCTGCGGCAGCCCCGCTGCCTGCCTCCATGATACTGACTCACTGCAATGAGCAGCCTGCCAGAGAAGCGGAGAGGGAGGGGGAGAGAGGGAGGGGGCGGGAGGGAAGGGGGAGGATGTGAAGAGGTAGAGCAAGAGGGAGAAAGAGGAACGAGATAAAAAAGAAATCACATGTAGGAAGTCGACAGAGGGGGGGGAAGCAGAGGGATGGAGAGGAATGTGGGGAATAAGAAAAGAGACAAGACTGAGAGCATGATGTGGTGTAAAAGGTACACAGGAAAAGATGTGCGAAGACAGGGCGGGGTGGGGGGGTGAGATTGGGGTGGTAGAAAAAAAACAAAAACAAATTAACTTTAGTCAGCAGACCAGATAAGTCGTGAGTTTTGCACGACAGGATTATTTCTTAGGTCCCAGCACATGGAGATTCTGTCACATGCTGACCAATGTGAACCAAAAGTCAAACAACATCATCAGCTCCATCGGCTTTCCCGCTGCGGTAGCTGTGCTGTCTGAAGTCTCCGTCCTCAAACAGTCCTTTTACAGTCCTCGCATCTTTTGGTCAGCCATTCTTTGTCACATCTCCACAAGTAGGTCTGATTTCAAGGAAAAGTTCCAGAAAGTCCTAAAAGGTTATAGCAAACGAATGTGTTCTCCACCCTCATCAACGTCAGCCACAAACTACAAGCAGAATGCTAGCGTAGGTTCAGCAATGCAAATCTCACGCCAAAAGTCACTACGCTTACCAAAAAGCTCAACACCGGCCTCTGACTGGTCGAGTTGGTTGTGCAGCAGCATTTCAACCTATCCATCATGCGGTAAAAAACAGTTTGTTTGCTTTACAGTCTACTGCAGACTGTGGCAGTTACTCTTTGGTAAACAACATATCTGTTAAATGAAGGAGTGAGACAAAGTAAACGCAGGCAAAGAAGTTGGTGGTTCGATCCCTGGCTTCTCCAGGCTGCATGCCAAATATCTTTGGGCAAGATATTAACCCCAAGCTGCTCTCAGATGCATCGGAGTACGAATGTGTATGAATGGCAGTTAGTAAGCACTTAAAATTATAGAAGACTGTGCTTGTGCGAATGGGTGTGAATGTGTGAATGTGGCATGTTGTATAGAGATTGAAAATGTGACGTCATTCAGGGGTAAAACCGCAAAGGATTCTGGGAACATGTGGCAAGAGGTACTAGCGCA